ACCGAAATCCCATCTGCTTAAAGAAGACTTCTTAGACTTCGAAGACACCAGCACGGTCAAAGCTCTGGGAATCAGATGGAACGCCCATTCCGATAATTTTTACTTTACAGCCAAACCAATTGAAAACCAGACTAGCTATACAAAAAGGGCAATTCTATCGGCCATTGCCAAATTATTTGATCCCCTAGGGTGGCTTGCACCATTTGTAATTACCGCGAAAATTTTAATGCAAAATATTTGGTTAGAAGGAACAGGGTGGGACGAAACTGTATCGTCAACCACGTTGGACCGCTGGGAAAAATTTAAGGAAAGCTACAGTTACATCGAAAAGATTCGTATCCCCCGTTGGGTACACTTTTCACCGACAACCAAAGTCGAAGTTCACGGGTTTTGCGACGCCTCAGTAAAGGCATATGCGGCCTGCATTTATCTTCGCGTCGAAATGGACGAAAAGGTCGCCATCAGTCTACTACTAGCTAAAACTAAAGTGGCACCAGTTAAAACGATTTCCTTACCACGATTAGAACTTTGTGGGGCGGTCTTGCTAGCCGAAATACTGGAGTCGATGACCAATAATCTTAACTTAGCCAACCGTACAACTAAGATGTGGACGGATTCGACCATTGTCCTGGCTTGGCTACGGAAGCCACCGTGCTCATGGTCAACCTTTGTTGCCCATCGAGTAACAAAAATAATAGAAAAGGTCGGAAAAGAAAGTGTCATGTAGATTCAACATCAAATCCGTCAGACTTAGCCAGTAGAGGACTTCCGGCGCAAGAATTAGTAAACAACTCCCTGTGGTGGGAGGGCCCTTCTTGGCTGCAAGAAGATCACTCCAAATGGCCCACTGAAGAAAAGGACTATAATACAGTTATAGAAGAGAAAAGGGTGCAGGTACACGCAACAACAAGGTCAGATATCGACTTTGATATTATTGAAAGATTTTCTGATTTCTCGAGAGCTTTGAGAGTTTTATCTTATGTACTGAGATTCTCTCAAAGAACTCACCCAAAAACTAGAGCGTCATTTCAGGCGAAATCTTGTTCAATTTCAGCTGATGAAATTAAAGCAACGACTCACCGCTTGATAATCATCTGCCAGAAGAAGCATTATTGGGAAGAATATTCAGCACTAAAATCCGAAACATCAATAGGTCAAAAGAGTGAAGTACTAACCCTTAACCCATTCATCGATAAGTATAATGAGGACAGGTGGTCGCCTAGGAGTATCTCGTGATCTCGCCTATAACGAGCGTCACCCAGTTATCCTGCCATACAACAGCCACTTGTCCCGTCTGATAGTTCAGTTCGTTCACAAAGTCTCACTGCATGGTGAGAATCAGCTCATGTTGCGCCTGATTCGAACACAGTATTGGATACCTAGGGTCAAAAATATGATACGGTTCACCATTCATAATTGCAAGGTCTGCACAATTTATAGAAAACGCGTGCAAACACAGCTAATGGGAATTCTTCCCAAGGAACGCACTACATTCTCACGAGCATTTACAAACTCGGGAGTCGACTTTGCAGGACCTTTCGACATAAAGAGTTACAGCGGACGAGGATGTCGGATGTCCAAAAGATATGTGTGCCTGTTTGTGTGCTTTGCGTCTAAGGCGATCCATTTGGAAGCCACCTCAGACCTAAGTACTCAATCCTTCTTAGCAGCATTTGCTAGGTTCATAGCAAGAAGGGGCTGTCCAAGAAATGTCTACTCCGACAATGGCACTAACTTTGTCGGAGCCTCTAGAACTCTGAAATCAGAGTGTAAGGCCTTTTTGGCCAATGCCCGCGGTGACACCTTAGCCAAATATGCCCATCAAATGGTTTCATGGCACTTTATCCCCGCTTCAGCTCCCCACATGGGCGGACTGTGGAAAGCGGGAGTTAAAAGCTTCAAAAGCCACTTCACTAAAATTGCCTCCAACCATAAATACACATTTGAGGAATTTACAACCCTATTATGCAGAGTGGAATCATGTCTCAATTCTAGACCCCTGAGCCCCTCTTCAAATCAACCAGCAGACCTGGAGCCACTGACTCCAGGTCACTTCCTAGTCGGTGGACACGTACTAGCTCCACCAGAAATAGACGCCGATGAAAATCGTGCATCGATCGTAAATCGATGGCATAGATTAAAGGCTCTTCACCACATGTTTTGCAAAAGATGGAAATCTGAGTACCTATCAGAGCTCCAGAAACGCAACAAATGGAAATATCCACAAACTAATATGAGAACTGGAGACCTTGTCATAATTAAAGAAGACAATCTACCACCAAATGAATGGAGGCTTGGGAGAGTGATCACCCTACACCCAGGTGCGGACAACAGGGTACGAGTGGTGGATATCAAAACCGACAGAGGCCAGATCACAAGACCTTTGGTAAAATTAGTCCTACTTCCGCCCTACAGTGAACAAGACGAGGAGTAAACTACCTCGTCTTAAACCAATCTTCTTTTTTTTCAGCACTGACCAAGGTCCACAATATAATATATATATTTGAAATGCAAAATAGTTATATATATATTTGAAATGCAATTTATAAAAATCATACATCCTTAAAGTACCCGCTTAAGGTTTGTATCAAATGTGTGTTATTTCAACTTAAAATGTATATTGGAATTCTGTGCAAGAATTTTTATTTAGCCTTATTTAGAAAAAATTGTGCATATACCATTGACACATTGTTCGTAAAGACTTTGGCGATCTGCGTACTCAAAAATTAATATGGAGTAAGTCAATCGAGATCCATGCAATACATATGCATTAATATCTATTCAGAAATTACTAGAAACAAAACAAAAACTGGCGTAAGTTATACGTAAGTTTTCTCAAACAACGACCAGTGTATTGCTTTTGAACTAAAGAATATTAACATATCTTTACATACAGAAAATCGTGTACATTTTCCGCGCTTGCCGAGTTTTTTATTTTAAGCTAAATTTTTACTCTAAAGCTTCTAGGTCCATTATTGTTAAATATATTTATGTATGCATGTACATATGTACACATGTAAAAATGTAGTTTCGATTTAAAAAAAATCGGATAAAGTTTTTCTTTCGCCATTCATACACCTCTAATTTTAGTATTTATTAAAAAAAAAAAACTCAATGAAATTCAAAAACTCTATCTTGCATTTGGTTTTACTCAATACCAATTTGAGCTGTCGCAGTGTATTAGGTTTATATTATCTATCATTGCAAAGAATCTAGTTTAAATTTATGTCTAATTCGCACTTATTGTTGAAGTGTCAAGACCTAATCACACACTTAAGTTGCAGTTACATAATGCTCTATTCATAAATATGTTTGTAAATGCACCCATACATACATACATACATACATACATACATACATACATACATACATACATATGTATATAAAACAACAAAACCCATGGTTTCAATTGTACGCATATCGTCAGGGTTTTCCCACAACTTGGTTTTGCTGCAGTGAAGCGACAGAACAAGTGACGAGAAAAAATACATGCGGACACTTATATGTATATGTATCTATGCGCATACGTATCTATGCGCATAGTATGTATCTATGCACATGCGTAGCTATGTATGTAGGATTTCGCCCAGCCAATTGAATAAAATTCCAGCTTTAAATTCCCGCGTGGGGATTTCACAAGTTTATTTAGTATTTTGCTTCGTTAAAATAAACAGTCACAGGCGCTTATTGGCGTAGTTATAATAGCTTGCGTTAAATTACATTGATTTTAATGCGTCACGTTTCACTGAATTTTACGTTGTACAGAAATACGATCTACTGCGTTTGGCGGTCGGC